TGGCTTTACAGAGGTATCTGTAAAGGGAGGGCTTTTTATAGCATCCCACCTCTGCCACCAAATGTGGCGCTTTTTCTTCTGTTGTTGGCCACGAAATGGTGTAGCGGTTTGGTAGTGTGGGGAATTCTGCTGCAATTGTTGCTCAGGACCCACACCACGGTAATTTCTCTGCCACCAGTGATCTATTGGCCGATCACAAGCCGTTTAAAGTAGAGCCTCTTCAGAGGAGAGGGTGGACTAGCTAAAAGGCTAAAGGCTGTGCCTGTTTATAAACTGCAAGCAGTTTAAAGTCTGTTCATTAGATGCGAGCATCTAAAGACTGTGCGCTCAAAGAGCATTCCTCAAGAACTATATGTGTAATAACTAGAGCTTCGCTTCGACCCTGGAGACGGATATCCCAGTGGGAACAACTGACCTAGGGTTCTAGTGCTGGGTAACACGGTAGGACGGCCATGATTCTGAGAATTCATTCTCAGTTCATGCAAAATTATAAACTATACACTTCTTATGTAAACAAAGTCTACATTGTCAACAATATAAATGCAACATTATTTAACAGATGGACATAATTTGATTTATGATTAAGTTGACATACAAAAGTATTATTTAGTTACGTTTAATAAGTTATAGGATATACATATAAATTATAATTGAATGCTATATATTCAAATTCAGCTATTTAAGTAAAGGGGGATAATAATACTCAATAATATTAGACAATGTATTATGGTACATTTCCAACAAAATAGATTATATAATAGGGATATAAATTCACTAATAGTATGCTAAATAACAAGACAGTGGTTTCTATTAAATTATAAAATTAAACATAATATATGGCAGATAGTAATATTATTATAAAACTTAGAAAGCGTCTTTCAACACACTATTTATACAGTTATCAAATATCCAGTCCCTCGATCACTATATGTAACTACAGTAACCTATATCTAAATATAACTGTTATAGTCTCGACTATTTAGGCGTCTACAGACTATAAATAAAAACAATACTAACAAAATGAAACAAACTTTGCCACATATATGCCCGTCTTCGTTAGCCCGCATGAAGTAGAAAAGTAATTCACTTTAAAAGTGGCCAAAGGTAGTTCTTAAGATCTAGAGCATATCAAGAAAAAATTAAATAGACACCCAAATCCCTGCTGACATACTTAACCAGTTCTTTATATTTACTAAATAAATAGATATGTTGACTGTTGTTAGTATGAAAAGATACTCCAGAATAACATATGGGCCACTGTGTATACATATTTTGACGATGTTGACACAGTTAGGTTTAAGAAGCACTTTTACATTCATACTTAAAGCAGCTAAGTCTTTTACTCAATATCACCGGAAGTCTTCGACATTGAAAACGCGAATTATTTGTCAGTTTGAATAAACAATGATGTTCTGATCTTACCGGGAAAAGATTTTCTTCTGATATCCAATATTTAAGACAAAATAAACATTTTACCATTGGTATACGAATCGTGTACCATAATGCGTTTCGGTGCCATTTGTAACAAGGGACTCGAAGAACGAGGCTAGATATATTCTACAAGTCATGTCAAACAGTGACCCCTAATTTTTATCTGGAGAGCATGCGTAATAAATACTATCGGTGTAGAGTTGAAAAACCAGACGCTAGAGGTTGCCATTCGATTGAGACATCTGGCGTATTTCGCCGAACATAACTGATTTGAAATCTGAGTAAAAACGGAAACGATTAAATTTAAATCAGATATACATTCATATTACATTATTATATGCGTTGAGACCAATTTGTGTCAATTTCTAGGTTCCAAAAATTAGCGATTTAGCTCCTTTAATTCATTTTATCTATAGAATTACTTGCAAAATGCCTTCGGTTAAAGATACATTAATTAAGAGTTTTTTGGCCATTCTTGCTATAATAGTTCAAAAATTGATGATTAAAAAAGAAAATGTTGAAAATTTCAGTCACTGTTGGATTAAGTTTGGACTAGAAATAGGCACCAATTGTATCTGCACCGTCTATGAGAATTGGCGATCGTTTGATTGACAGACGATAACTCCATCCACATATTCTCAATTATCAGGACACAGATCACTAAAGATTTCCCCATTGACTCCAATGTTAATTCTCGTATCTTAGACCGGCTCTAACCTTTTCCCAAATTTTCGTTGGGTAGAACGCTTTCTACCACAGATGGAGCAACATGTGGCAACCACTTGCCCGAAAGCACGTATGAGGTTCTTCATGAAAAACTTTAGATACACAAGCTGGAACTAGAGACAAGTAAACATGCAATTTCAGGCCCTACATTTCAACGTAACCAACCTCTCAACTCTTGTATCCTTCCGCATCAAAATTATGAATATTCACCAAAACCAGGCAGAAAATGTATTTTCAAACCCTTTTCCTCAATTCTACACGAAAAAGTCAACAAAAATCGCCATGCAAAAGGGGGAAAAAGGAAAAGGGAGAGGAAGACTAAAAATAGCTTTGGCCCTTGTTTCGTGGGTGACGGCGTAGGAATATTTGGTGATCTGTGTCCATCAAGTAACATACTCAATAGTCTCTATCATCCAGAAAAATATTCTACGAATATTAGTCTGAACAGGTTGTCAACATTTGAGAAAAATTGGCTAGATAATCCGGTCTTTCACATTATCATCAACAATGTCTAAGGGAAGTAACTCCTCTTAAAACAAGATGTTTACGCCCATGAAATTAATTTAAGAATGTCATTTCAAAAAATCCATTTGAATGCATGCGAGTTTAATATCTAACACTCTTAATTTTTTATTGTAAAATTTCTCTCTTCATGGGCCATATCTATGCTTTTAAAATTAATCCTAATTCGTCGTCACGATTCATGTTTGTTTATATTAATGCAAGAATTATGGGATTTATTGTGGGAAGGGGCGCAACTCTTACTTGACTTGGCTAAAGAGACTGGATAATCAACCACATTAAAAACCAAACTCCCGGTTACGCATGGGCAATGGACAACCTTCCCAGACCCTCCGTATGTTGAAGACTAGGAGGTTCTGGGTGACCGAGACTACATACTCAATGGCTATGGTAGCCTCGCTTGGCAGGCCTTTCATCACCAGTTTCCGGTAGTGACATCAGCGACTAACGGTAAACATAAGCTTGGTCCGCCATTTATTGATTTAATAATAAATGCACGACTGTAAAAAAAATCCAAACTGTATCCAAGCCATCCGTGGTTCTACAGAGTTGATTTTGAGCTTGTCGTGTAAATAAAAACCTAATTAATAATTTCTATAACATCTGAAGCCTAAATAAAGACTTAGTGGGTAGATTTAGCCCTTGCATATTGTATGTTTTATAAATAGTTTTATTCTATTTTTGATACATAGAATCCGGGCTATCTTAGCAGCAGCAGGAATTACAAATGTAAATGAAATGAGATGGGGTTTAACGTCCTATGGTTCTACTCCGACTGGGATACGCCACACAGTGGGCTACGGGGGTAATTTTGTCTGGACAGCGGTGATACAGCCTACTCTTATATCGAATTCCATCTGCCAAAGAATCTTTTGCGTGCTCGCAATGTGTACACGAGACCGCGTTCTTTCGTCCCATCCGAGCGACTAGACAGCTGTACTTGTCAGGCCCTCCATCCTGCACAACTGGCAAGGGGAAACCATGCCGGAAAATCTCAATAAACTTTCTCGGCCAACACCGGGAGCGAACCGCAACCTCAAGGATAGCGTACCAGCGCCCTACTCACGTAGCCACCGAGGTCCTTGTCAGACCCCCGTCCTGCACCACTGGCAAGGGGAAACCATGCCGGAAAATCCCAATACACTTTCTCGTCCAACACCGGGAGCGAACCGCGACCTCCAGGCTAGCGAGCCAGCGTCCTACTCACTTAACCACCGAGGCCCCCGAATAGAAATGTAAATGGTCGATAAAATTAAACATATATTTATAGTAATGGTTCTTCTAACAAAATCAGCGTTGTATACAACTTGGATTTAAACAGTCGTCAATTTAAAATTAAATCAATAAATGGCGGACCAAGCTAACGTTTACCGTTAGTCACTGACGTCACTACCGGAGACTGGTGATGAAAGGCCTGCCAAGCGAGTGTACCATAACCATTGAGAATGTTAATTCATAAGCGATAATATGTGCATTGAGCTATCGTCTGTCAATCAAACTATCGGCAAATCTCGTAGACGGTGCGGACACAGTTGATGCCTATTTCTAGCCAAGACTTCCGTTCAGAATAAAGTAATTTGACTGAACCTTTCAATATTTTCTTTTTTATCATCTATTTTTGAATTATTATAGCAAGAATGACCAACTCTTTATTAAACTCTTAACTAATGTATCTTTAAGTAATTGCCAGTCTTAATAAGGAACGTCACATCAATGTTTTATCAATCTGAGTAATAATAGTTTGCATATCTCAATTTAATCATCATCATCATCATCATCATCATCGTCGTCGTCGTCGTCGTCGTCGTCGTCAATAATAATGGCGGACAACAAATCGGCGTATGTTTCTTTCATTGAAAACCATATCCGTTTTTCTTCATTCGAGATTAGTCACACAAATATTATTAAAGATCTATTGCAATTCTCACCAAGCAAATATAATTTTATATCTTATTTATATAATTTGAGATTATACTACATGAATAAGGTATATATATTCACCTTTCGAAATTTTGAAAACTGAATGGTGTATAAATTCTATGAATACAATAAAAGCGTAGATGGGCTGGCCTTTAAATGTTCAACCATGCATCATAAAATTAAAAACAAATTGCACCAATCGAAGTAGGAATGTCTCTTTAAGGGGATGTTTAGTTATCTTGATAATACATTGAAATATGAAGTGGTGTAAATATAAATAAAAAGCAACGACCAGATATAATAACTTAATAATATAGGTTACTGTTTAAATAAAAGACTAGCGGAGACAGATCGTCACTTTAAATCTACCCCACCCCGATGAATAAAAGAACGCTTATATTAAGTTTGTAATGAAAGATCGGTCTCCGTGTAGACACATCTAACGTGAAACGGGACAGACCAAAGTTCTATAGAAGAGAGGCAACTCCCGAATAATACACATCGAATAAACGTGAGGATATCCAAGTTTGAAATGGAAGGAAAGTTTTTATTACAAAGTTTAGTATTTTTGATATTAATACAGTTAGTTGTGAGTGCATCTGACCCCGTCAACTGTCAAGTTAATAATTTTCAAACAAAACAGAATTTCGATTTGGAAAAGGTATGTATATAGCAACTATTTATTTCATAAATAACATACCATTTATCCACAACGAGGATTATATTTTGTACTTTTCGTTTCATTTATTTCTGGTACAGTTTTTTCTTGTAAAGTTTATAATGCATGATTCAAGGGGTATTCTAAACTTTATAATGCATGATTCGCGGGGTGCTTTAAGCTTAAAAATGCATTATCCAGGAATTATTTTAAATTGTATAATGCATGGTAAGGGGATATTCAAAATTTTAAAATGAATGGTTAGTCTGAGACGGTTATCCTAAACTGTATAACGCATGGCTCGAAGGTTATAGTAAACTACCTTTATAATGCATGGTTAGTCAAAGACGGTTACTCCAAACTTTTAGTGAAAGACGGTGATCCCAAACTTTAACAATGCACGGATAGTCAAAAACGGTTATCGTAAACTTTATAAGGCATGGTTCAGGGGATATTCTAAACTGTATAACGCTCGGCTCGTTAACAATGCACGGATAGTCAAAAACGTTTATCCTAAACTTTATAAGGCATGGTTCAGAGGATATTCTAAACTGTATAACACTTGGCTCGAGGGTTATTCTAAACTTTATAATGCATGGTTAGTCAAAGAGGATGACCCTAAACGTTATAATACATGGTTATTCAAAGACGGCGATCCCAAACTTTATAAATGTATGGTTAGTCAACGAAAGGCGTTTAGTTTTAAAAATACAACCGATTCGCGTGTTGCACGTATTGGTGACTCTAAACTTTATTATGTATGATTGGTCAAAGATCATGACCCTAAACTTTATAATACATGGTAAGTCGAAGTCGGTTATCCTAAACTTTATAATGCATGGTTGGTGAAAGAGAGAGAGAGAGATGGGGTTTAACGTCCACTCGACACAGACTAGGTCATTTCGGGACTAACATATGGTTTAATTTTATTTCAATAATTCGCTTGCGCGTAGGGGTCTTTAGCAAAACCCACGAGGTTGGACAGGCAACCCTACTCCTTGTCACGTACAACCATACATAGTTAGTCAAAGACAGTTAACCTAAACTTTATAATGCATGCTTGGCCAAAGAGGATGACCCTAAACGTTATAATACATGGTTATTCAAAGACGGCGATCCCAAACTTTATAAATGCATGGTTAGTCAACGAAAGGCGTTTAGTTTTAAAAATACAACCGATTCGCGTATTGCACTGCACATCAGCATAGTGCTTTTTATCCCATGGACAGAGTTGTTTAGTGTATTCTTCACCATAAAAGATCTCCTGAATTGCTATTTAGAACTGTACCGGATCTTTACAGTCCTATTCATGGCGAGTTTGTCATGGGACATAAAGAAATAAATACTTTTTATTTTCATAGTTGCTTGATATTACAAACTAGCAAGATGTTGTTGGACTTCAAATATATACTATTCAAAAAAAGTAGGGGATATTTGATTTTGGGGGCATAATACTAAAATATGCAAATGACTACGAAAAAAGTCACTATAGAACCTAACAGAAGAAACATTTCCAGTTACATGTGACGCCCAAACGCACCAATAGCTACCGCATGGAATGCAGGTGATGCTTGGGATCATCATGGGGGTCCAACCCAAGATTTGCACGACTCTGACTTTGAATGTTACAGTCATTGTGGCATTGAATTCCAGGGTGGAAACATCAGTTTAATTGTTTTAGTGACCAGAAAACAAATTTTGATATGCGTCGGCTTACCCAAAATGAAAGGTTACGTGCCCTTGGCATGCTACAGATCGGCACAACACAGGCGGTTGTGGCGCGGACGATGAATGTTTCTCAGTCTGTCATAAGCAGGCTATGGTCCAGATACCGTGATACACAATCTGTATAGGACAGACCACGCTCAGGTCGACCAAGGGCGACAACTCAAGCCCAGGATCGATTTATCCGTACCTTGGCCTTGAGAAATCGTGTCATCACAGCAAATCAGATCAGCACTCGTCTTCAAACAGACACTGGTGTGAGAGTGAGTGGCCAGACGATTCGGAATCGACTGCATAGGGGTCACCTTCGCGCCCGACGTCCTCGCGTGATCCCTTGTTTGAGAGATCATCACATTCAGGCAAGACGTCGTTGGTGTAGGGATCGTCAACACTGGGATAATCGACGCTGGAGCAATGTGATGTTTTCAGATGAGTCAAGGTTCACTGTTGAATTTTTGGACAACGCAAGATGTCACAGGGCCAGGATCGTTACAGGTTACCTCCAACAACAGAACATCACCACATTACCTTGGCCAGCACTGAGTCCCGACCTCTCCCCCATCGAGCATGTCTGGGACATGCTTGGACAGAGGTTACGTCAACGTCAACAACGTCCTGCCAATGTCCAAGAACTTGCTCCTGCGTTGCAACAGGAATGGGACAATCTGGACAAAAATGACCTTAGACGTCTCATTAGGAATATGCCACGTCGGATCAATGCTTGTTTGGCAAACAGAGGAGGATTTACCCGTTACTGACTTGGTTGTGATGCTGTGGTAACTTTGCTGTTTGACCCCGGGTATCATTTTACCCTTATAATGGTCAGTCTGTGCCTTACTTAGTCTAACGATCATTTGGAATAAATCGATGAATGTGAACTTCATTTCATTTTGTCATTTGTTTCTTCGTCAGTTTCATTAGGTGACTTTAATAACACTTAAAAATCAAATATCCCCTACTTTTTTTGAATAGTATAGTTTAATCAATTCACTTGTTACGTCAGTTTATATGAATAGTCGGTACTCAAGATTATCTAGTGTACCGCGGTGAAAAGGTATGATTCACACACCGTTAACTAGGTCCTCTAATAACATCGTCTTTACACACACCGCCACAAAGCTCGATTGTGTTCTGTAAAAGACGTTCGCAGTTTTGCATCGAACAAGCAGTCTCTCAAAAAGTATCAAACATTCTACCCTGTTGAGAGAGAGAGAGAGAGATGGGGTTTAACGTCCACTCGACACAAACTAGGTCATTTCGGGATTATGGTTCAATTTTATTTCCATAATTCGCTTGCGCGTAGGGGTCTTTAGCAATGGGAGGGAACCGGAGGACCCGGAGAAAACCCACGAGGAATCGGGGAATCGAAAGCACGCCAGTTGACTCAATGACACTACCCTGTTTAGAACTGGGTATTTATTGATGGACACCAAATGAATGAACTTATAGGAAATATTTCAGGGAGAAATAGGGTTTACCGACTACTGGACACAAACCAAGTCATTTACGAACGAGCGTATGGTTAAATTTTATTTAAATAATTCTGGGGTCACGTTGGCTAAGTTGGTAAGACGCTGGCTCGCTAGCCTGGAGGTCGGGTGTTCGATCCCGGCATTGGCCCAGAAAGTTCATCCTGATTTTCCGGCGTGGTTTCCCGTTTGTCGGTTATGCAGGACGGAGGGCCTGACAAGGACAACTGTCTAGTCGTTCGGATGGGACGAAAAACCGAGGAACCTTGTACACATTGGTGCGCATTAAAAAGATCCCTTGACAGTTGGAATTCGATATAAGAGTAGGCCGTAGTGCCGCTGTCGGGGCAAATTGCCCTCATGGCGTATGATCGTTTTCAGTAGTCCAGAACAGTAGGACGTAAAACCCCATTTCATTTCATTTCAATAATTCTCTTGTGCGTCAGAGTCTTTAGAAGTCGGGTTTGGATAGGCGAACCTCCTGGGAATAGGAACTTCGCCATTGGATTAAATAACAAACCGCATGACTTACAGCGCACGTGTTTGACCATTCGGCCAACCACGCACCCGTGAAAATTTCCATATTTGATAGATAAATAAACATAGATCTCAGCATTCTTCAAGGTCAGTTTTTAACCAAACCTGCGATGCGGCTATGCCGGGTTTCATCGGTGTACATTAACCTTTACTTACATTATCAACAGTTGTCAATCGTCATCCAGAAAGGGTACAGAGAGGTCAGTACAAAAACAAACTAGACTTCGAGTTCCGAAGTTATTTCAAAATAATATTTCAAGCGGTATAAATTTTATTTTGAAAAGAACAAGCTAATATGCATGGAAGTGATTGTCATCGTCAATCAAAACTAGTCGAAGCAGAAAGGTAGGACGTTCACAACCCCATTTCATTTCTTAAAAACAGCCCCAAACTACTTCAATTTATATAGGAACATATTATGAATACCCACTGGAAAATCCATTATATTGCATTAAATGTGATAAGAATTGTGCAAAATCTTAAAAAAAGGTTAACTGAAAAATTTCAAACTATCGGACAAGTAGTTTGTGAAATAAATAAATAAATTATTAGTGTTCCACACTAACGATGTTAAATTTGTTACGCAGTTAGTTCATTATATAGCTGGAACTTCTATTCACAGAAAAAAACAAGATAACAGATTTATTATTAGGAACATATACAGGTGCGCAGCTACCAGGCTAGATCAGACGATCCGCTCCATAGGTAAAACATCGCCGTCTCTAAAATGTAACTTGGCTGTTTTGGTATTGGAACTTCACCATTACTTATATTAATAATTTCTATTAAATTATTTTAGTATCTTGGAATATGGTATGAGATGAAATGGATTGTTCCATTTAATGTTCCGATATCCGATCGTTATTTGGACTACCAACATGAGTACACTATGAATACTGATAATCAAGTATTGGCTTCCATCACAGCAAGGTGAGTACATTCAAAATTATATTACTGGCATTTTGCAGGACAAACGGTATAGTTTAAAGCTACTTACTGCAAACCGTATATGACCGTAGACGGTATATCCCCTGTTCTATTTACTGCAATCATGGTTGAGATATATACTATTCAAAAAAAGTAGGGGATATTTGATTTTTAAGTGTTATTAAAGTCACCTAATGAAACTGACGAAGAAACAAATGACAAAATGAAATGAAGTTCACATTCATCGATTTATTCCAAATGATCGTTAGACTAAGTAAGGCACAGACTGACCATTATAAGGGTAAAATGATACCCGGGGTCAAACAGCAAAGTTACCACAGCATCACAACCAAGTCAGTAACGGGTAAATCCTCCTCTGTTTGCCAAACAAGCATTGATCCGACGTGGCATACTCCTAATGAGACGTCTAAGGTCATTTTGGTCCAGATTGTCCCATTCCTGTTGCAACGCAGCAGCAAGTTCTTGGACATTGGCAGGACGTTGTTGACGTTGACGTAACCTCTGTCCAAGCATGTCCCAGACATGCTCGATGGGGGAGAGGTCGGGACTCAGTGCTGGCCAAGATAATGTGGTGATGTTCTGTTGTTGGAGGTAACCTGTAACGATCCTGGCCCTGTGACATCTTGCGTTGTCATCCTGGAAGATGAAACGGCGGCCATGACGTCGTGCGAACGGCACAACATGGACTGCCAAGATGTTGTCCCGGTAGTACTGGCCTGTAACACGCCCTGCAACAACATGTAAAGCCGTTCTTCCAGCAACAGTGATGCCTCCCCACACCATAACAGAACCACCCCCAAATCGATCATGTCTGATGACGTTAACGTCTTGGAAGCACTCGTTTCGACGACGCCACACCCTCCTACGTCTGTCCAAAAAATCAACAGTGAACCTTGACTCATCTGAAAACATCACATTGCTCCAGCGTCGATTATCCCAGTGTTGACGATCCCTACACCAACGACGTCTTGCCTGAATGTGATGATCTCTCAAACAAGGGATCACGCGAGGACGTCGGGCGCGAAGGTGACCCCTATGCAGTCGATTCCGAATCGTCTGGCCACTCACTCTCACACCAGTGTCTGTTTGAAGACGAGCGCTGATCTGATTTGCTGTGATGACACGATTTCTCAAGGCCAAGGTACGGATAAATCGATCCTGGGCTTGAGTTGTCGCCCTTGGTCGACCTGAGCGTGGTCTGTCCTGTACAGATTGTGTATCACGGTATCTGGACCATAGCCTGCTTATGACAGACTGAGAAACATTCATCGTCCGCGCCACAACCGCCTGTGTTGTGCCGATCTGTAGCATGCCAAGGGCACGTAACCTTTCATTTTGGGTAAGCCGACGCATATCAAAATTTGTTTTCTGGTCACTAAAACAATTAAAACTGATGTTTCCACCCTGGAATTCAATGCCACAATGACTGTAACATTCAAAGTCAGAGTCGTGTAAATCTTGGATTGGACCCCCATGATGATCCCAAGCATCACCTGCATTCCATGCGGTAGCTATTGGTGCGTTTGGGCGTCACATGTAACTGGAAATGTTTTTTCTGTTAGGTTCTATAGTGACTTTTTTCGTAGTCATTTGCATATTTTAGTATTATGCCCCCAAAATCAAATATCCCCTACTTTTTTTGAATAGTATATTTATATCACTCAATGGTTCATACTACAATTGATGTTTACACCTGTATTCTATTACAATGTAAACGTTTTTAGTTTACCTTTAAATTAAAGTGAGTATTAAACTATCATAAATTTATTATGGAATAATGAAATCAGTAATAATTTAATTGTGTATTCTATTACAATGTAAATGTTTTTAGTTTACCTTAAATTAAAGTGAGTATTAATCTATCGTAAATTTAAAATGACGACTGCTATTATTATTATTGAATAATCAAATCAGTAATAATTTAATTGTGTAAACAAAAACCGAGAAAATATTATAGCACATGAAACTACTGGAATTTGTAGTCAGTAATTAAATAATAGAATAAATGGTTAAGTAAACAAAATTTCCCGGAGTAACATTGTTTTCAGCTTACCTTTATATTAAAAGTGGGAATATTATTATAAATCCTAAATTCAAAATAAAGTGCTATTATTATCATTTATTCAAATTCAAAATTCAATCGTGCATGGAAAAGCTTGGCAGAAATGTTTAGTGCAATTGAATTTTAAAAACCTAAGTAAAAAGTGGTATCAGGTGTTCTGGAATAAGTAATGCCCAATGCGCTAGAAACTGGTCGTACGTGGGTTTATACGACAAACAAACAACTTATAAATTAAATGGGTAAACAGACAAAATCTTGAAGTGGATTTTTCTTTGGCAGAGATAATTGTGTGATGTGGTAATAATTTGACCGGTTTCATTCCTTTACCAATGTATCCATCCATGTTCGTTTAGAGCTGCCACTTGTGTTATAAACAGATGGAATCTGTTGCGGTTTGGATGCTTGACTATTTGCTGTAGTGTCTAACCATTTCTCCTCATCCAGTTTTCCTCAACACGTTTCCTGCAGTCCCCCATCTTCCGCATCTCCAGTGGCATCGTTCCGTTCTACTCCACCAAGCCCCGAGTCCATTTACGGGGTTTTCACGAATTCAAATTATCGGCACTTGATGATTTCATTAGCACGTAGGTTGATTCTACAAACCAATCAAAAAAATATGTTCGCATACCAGTCTTGCCGTCATTGTTTACGTTCAGCACAATAAAGCAGTTTGCACGCTCGATTTAGTTGTAATAAAATTGGAGTTACTTCCCTTCGAACTTTTTGATTGATCTATAAAAATAGCATAATTATCAAGGGCGGATAATTTGACTATGTGTCCCACCCGTGGATGGATTCAGGGGAAAGTGGAGATAAAGAGGATGGCAGTCCACATGTATTGTGATATCAACAAGTTTGCCTTAATGCTTTTGTTTTCTTTTATATTAGAAATTCGTCCAAGCATTGTTTATACATCACTGCCTACAAGTTTGCCTTAATGCTTTTGTTTTCTTTTATATTAGAAACTCGTCCAAGCATTGTTTATACATCACTGCCTACATGAATCTAACCGAAACTCCAGGAAAAATGGTGTTTTCAAAACAGCCAAACGGTAAGATATCTAATACTGATTTAATTGACCCAACTTCATGTTTCAGTTTGATCATGTAACACGGGGTCAGCAGCTAGTGTCGCGTATGTGTTGGGTGTGCTTATCCATTCCCTGATTGAACTTTTCTTTCTCACATTTTGTACCAATTGCCATGGTAACTCCATTTTGCCGAATTCGTCCACTGGAATTTTCACCAAATCTATTTAGGATCCATTGTGCTTGGTCGTCTTATATGCTGTTAATTTTCTGAAAGAATGTTATTTTTACAAATTTTACCAGTAAGCGCATGTCCATAATGTTACTATATATCTTCCCATAGGTGACTATTTTGAAACGGTGGCTCGGTAAGTAAGACGTTGGCTCGCTAGCCTAGAGGTCCCGTGTTCGATCCCGGTGTTGACAGAGGGAGTTCTTCTGGATAGCTGTATGGTTCCCCCTACTCAGTGATGCAGGGTGGATAAAGGGACAACGTATAATCTGTCGGGTGATGTGAAAACCGATATCCCGTGAACACTTTGGCGTGCACCTAAAAGAACCCTTGACAGTTGAAATCGAAATAAGAGTAGGTCGTAGTGCCGCTTTCCGGGCAAAATTCCCGGATGGCGTATGCTCGTCGTCATTAATAGTAGGAGGTTAATCCCCATTCCATTCCATGTTTCTATCTTGGAACTTCAGGTGGAGGTGACACATTTACTTACTGGATTATAGAAACAGATTATATTAACTATGCTGTGGTTTATGGATGTAGTCAGACACTGTCTAATGGAACCTGTGGCACAACCCGTTTGTGGATCTGGAGTAGAACGACGTCCATCTCCCCAACATTGTTAACTTCAGCTGAGTTGTTATTGAATAGATTGTGTTTAGAGACATCATCTCTGATACCCACCACTCATAACGAAGGAGGTAAATATTTGTTGAAAGGCGTTGTTAGGTTGTATATATGGGATTGATATTAGTGGATCAAATGTCGGGATAACTACAAGCAAAAAAATATACCTATGTTTAAAGTAGCTAAGTCTCTAACTCAGTATCATCTTCGACATTGAAAACACGAATTAATTGTCAGTTTGAATCAACATTGATGTTGTTGTCTTACCGGGAAAAGATGGGCTTCTGTATGGAAGCCTATAACTACCATTCATAATTTCTACTTTTCGCCTCTTCACAACGCGAAAGTCGAAAAGTAGAAGTTACGACAAAATGTGAGGCGACAACACGCTATACAAGCCAAAATCAACTCGAAAATAGGAAATTAAGAAATAACACACAGCGATATCAGCGCCCCTCGTTTTTTCCCAATTTTTTATTTTCGACTTGCATTTTGGCTTGTATACCGTCTTGTCAACTTTAGACTTAGTCATATTTTTGTATTTATTGATGTCAGCAAGAAGGCGCCAACACGCTATACAAGCCAAAATGCAACCCGAAAAGTAGAAATTAGGAAATTAACACACCACGCTATTAGCGACTTTTCGCCTCGGAAGTTGTTGTAGTCTCAGTTTTAAGGGTGGCATTTGAATACGTGCAATCAGGGCTCACACTGTATTTCATTCTTTTCTGTCAAAATGGATAATAATTTTTATATAAAAAAAATGTTCATATTTTTTTCCGCCAACTTGGATATTTTATCTGCCAAAAATGTCAGATAAAAAACCCCAAAAAAACCCAAATTTATTATATATGCCTATTATAAAACAAATTTCCCGTACCGATATAAACAATATACAACAACATACATGGGGATTGGGTGATTTAGTAGTTTAACACGTGCGCGTAAAATCACAAGGTCTGACATTGATTCAAATGGTGTGGTTTCGATTCCCCGCTTAAACATGACAAGGGGTAAGGATCGCTTGTCAAACCTTGTGGGTTTTCTCCGGATACCCCAGTTTCTATCCACTGCTAAAGACCCCTACGTTCAAACGAATTATTGAAATGATTTAGTTTGCAATGAGTGGATGTTAAACCAGCCTGGAGGTCGGGTGTTCGATCCCTGCATTGGTCGAGAAAGTTCATCCAGATTTTCCGGCGGATTGCCCCTTGTCAGTGATGCAGGACGTGCAGGTCGGGTGTTCGATCCCTGCATTGGCCGAGAAAGTTTATCCAGGTTTTCCGGCGGATTCCCCCTTGTCAGTGATTACATTATTATATGCGTTGCGACCCATTTGTGACAATTTCTAGGTCCCAAATATTAGCGATTTCGCTCCTTTAAGGTTACTTGATCCAGGAAATGGTTTTCATCTTCACGTTGTGTTGTGTTATCTTGTATTTTCCTGCATTTCTAGCCTAATTACTAAGGTTCTTCTGAAATAATTCTTAAATATCAGTGTTGGAATTTGTCCACATAAAACCACACCAAAACTGAGTTACGGAGCCTTGGAAATGAGAAAAGAAAATTAGGGTCGACGATTTCGGCTTAAAAAAATTAGGTCGGTTCGGTAACCGTAAACACAGGTATTTTTGTTTTTGGCCTAATGTAACGCGACTCTTTGATCCCACGTAACTTATTTTTATATACTGTTCACTACATTGAGTCCAAGGCAGGTTTCTAGATAGGAAATAATACTTTTAAAATGATTGATTTGTTCTGCGATGTCGATAACATTTAGTCTATCAAAAGGTTTATTGAAATATACACAATACGACATTAGCTAGTTTTATTTGGTTTTGTTTATTGAAAAGGGTAGAATTGGGTTTGTTCCGTATCAGCTACACGATATAAGAGTAAAAAAAAGTTGACGTCTCTTTTATTATGTCCTTTTGATATATCATTATTCTAGAAAACGTCAACATAATATTTCTAGCATATGGACAGAGCTCAACAAATATTCCTCCGAATGCAGGGCGAAAGTTATTTTTAGTTATTGTCTTCCTTTCCCTTCCCCCCCTTTTGCATGGCGATTTTTGTTGACTTTTAGGTGTAGAATCGAAGGGTTGAGAGGTGCCATTTTAAAATTTACTCTAAAATATTCCAGATAAAAGTATGCAAATTGCATGTTTTTTGTCTTTACTTCCAGTTTGTATCTCGAGTTTTCCATGGTGAATCTCATACGTGCTTTTGAGCAAGATGTTTCCACATATTGCTCCATCTGTGGTAGAAAGCCTTCTGCCCAACGAAAATTTCGGAAAAAGTTAGAGCCGGTCTAATAGACCGGAATTAACATAAAAGTCAATGGGGGAATCATTAGTGATCTGTGGCCATATTTTTCTTTAGGTAGTACATGGCGCCACCCAATCATTCGCTTCGTTCGTTCGTTTCTAGAGTTTTACATCCACTTCCACCTAAGGTGATATCATTCGCGATCACTTCACGCTTTTATATCCAAAGCTCTGAAACAATGAAAGGGGCATAACTCTATTTGCGTTAGTGAATATGAAAGATAAAATCCGATGGTTAGAGAATTCTGGTATTTTATCGGCGAGCATATTATAACAAACTGTCCAATGATCAAATGGATCGGATCAAATTGAACTCTATGCAGTCAGTACTTTTTGAACAGCTATTGGAATTTATTTTCTTTTCTTTTTTATTTTCAGCTTGTCCTAAACGTGAGTAAATGTTTTGAATATCTCATATAACAAGAAATCTAAAAGAGAGAGAGAGAGAGAGAGAGAGAGAGGGAGGGAGAGGGGGGAGAGAGAGTGAGATAGGGGGGGATTTTATTTCAAGCATTCTTTAGCAGGAGTCTTTAGCAGTGGGAGGATATCGGGGGTTGGACAGGCGACACTACGCCTTGTCATGTTCAAGCGAGAAAACGAAACCACACCTCTTGATTCATTGACAGGCACTGTCCATTTCTGGAACAGCCTCTACTCGATTGATAAATTAAACATCCCACTTTCACGTAAGCGTATTATGTCGTCACCACGTCCGTCGGTCCGTCAACGCGTTAGAGGCTACAGTTTGGTGGGAAGCATCGGGGTCATGAGCAGACGACTCCTTTCGATATTCATCGTTCTGCGATCTTTCCGATTCAGAGTTATTCCCCGTTGTCAAAACCCTATTAATTTTCAGCCGATTTCAGCGTCGTTATCACCCCCACCCCATTTTACCGAAGACTTTGTGAACGCAATAATATAGGCTAGAGGTTTTGACGGATTATTCTCAAATTTGGAGTCATCCCACCCCTCTCCGACTTTGTGAAAACATTAGACGGTTTTTAACAGATTTTTTTGTCAAATTCTATTTTAAGCATTTAGTCATGTGGGGACTAACCCAATCGATATCCAACTTTCTACGATTTTCCAATACGGAGTTATCTCCCCAATTGTAAACGAAGTATAGGCTACAGTTTTTAACGGAATTTTTTCAAATTTGACGGTAAGCATTTGGGTCACAAGAGGACGAACACTAGCAATATTCCACGTTCAGCAACTTTCCCCCCTTTGCCAAAAACGTGAACGCGATATATAGATGCTTTAATTTTTAATGGATTTCTGTCAAATATACTTGGGGGTCACGGTGGCTAAGTGGGTAAGACGCTGGCTCGCTATCCTGGAGGTCGAGTGTTCGATCCCTGCATTGGCTGATAATGTTCATCCAGATTTTCTCCTGTGGTTCCCCCTTGTCAGCGGTGCAGGACGAAGGACCTGACAAGGACAGTTGTCTAGTCGCTCGGACGGGACGAAAAACGGAGGTCTCGTCTACATATTGGCGTGCACTAAAAGATCCCTTGACAGTTGGAATTCGATATAAGAGTGGGTCGTAGTGCAGCTGTCTGGGCAAAATTTCCTTCATAGCACACTATATGGCGTATGCACGTCTTCATTAGCCCAGTTCGGAGCAGAACAGTAGGACGTTAAACCCCATTTCGTTTCATTTGTCTGATATACTGGGAAGCAGTGCCTATCGACATTCAGTGTTGCGAGGGGGTTATACTTTTTAACGGATTTCTTTCATATTTGGGCCGAGAAAGTTCATCCAGATTTTCCGGCGTGGTTTCCCCTTGTCATTGATGCAAGACGGAGGGCCTGCCAAGGACAGTTGTCTAGTCGTTAGGATGGGACGAAAAACCGAGGTCCCGTGTACAAATTGGCGTGCACGTAAAAGATCCCCTGGCAGTTGGAATTCGATATAAGAGTAGGCCATAGCGCCGCTGCCGGTCAAAATTTACCTCATAGCACACTGTATGGCGTATGCCCGTCTTCATTGGGAAGCTTTGGGGTCATGAGAGGATGAACCCGATCTAAATTAAAGAGCACATAAAGTCACCAGGTGAAATTTTCTGTACTTGTAGCCATTAGTTACTATATGCACTTAACGGCAAGTTCACACCAATATGATTAAAATTAAATAAGCCATCTTCACTCAAAGTCGCAAATATAACCTCCCGTAAAAAGATTTTGCTAATTATCAAAAATCCCCCCACATGCCAGTGACGGCACAGTGACCGAATGCATGGGAATGTTTGAGCCCCCAACGTTCCTAAAGTTTTACGTCCACTTCCACCATAGGTGATATCGTAGACAACGTGGGAATGTTTCTTCCTAAATTACCTATATACAACCGGAGTGTGTATTCATTAATTCCCTAATTAAATAAAACAATTGACTGCGGACTAATTTTTTTTGTAATTTATTTTAATTTAAGATCCAATTTAGAATTTGTTTTATAATACTATAACAAAGACAGTCGTTGTAGCCATATTCCTCGTGTCCTTTTAATCAGAATTGGAGTAAGCCAACAGTAAACTTGTACAATGATTTGTTTTCTGTGTAATCGGCTTGGAAATTTTTCCATTCTAAATTAAAAGTTGGGTTAATATAGTTCATTGGTGATTCATGTTCGCTGGCGCGGTTGTATGAGGTATGT